CTTTGGGGGGGGGGGGGGGGGGTTTGAACAAGAGCTGCAGACCATGTCTAAGGGTTGCACTATCAAGAAGAAAGTTTGTTTTTATGAATAAAAAAGTTGCAAATTGGAAGTCAAGTTTTATATTTAGGGTTCTAAGTATGTATTTATATGTGAAAATTCAACTAAAAATGTTAAAAATTCAAAATTTGATTTGATTTGATTTTATTATTATTATTATTATTTTGGGTGTGAACAAAAAGCTGGAGGTCAAGATAAGAATATAATGAATGATTTGTGATTTTTTGAAAATTTAGGAATATAATTGCAATTAGTTTTTTATTTTTCTTTTCTTTTTTGTTTGTTAAAATCATTAAAAAAGGATGAAAATGACTTTCTACGTAATGAAAAGTGAAAATGGGGGTGAAAATGCTAAAAAAATGAAAGATATGAACGTTTTCTATAATAACATTAAAAAGTAAGAATGTTTTATACTATTTACCCTTTATACATATATTTGCTTGTACTTGTAAAATATAACATAAATGTTTTATTTAGCTTCTGTTTGAGCCCCATTCTTTTACATTATACAACATTCTTTTTTTACAAGACTCATTTTCAACCGCACATTCTTTATTAGAATAATATTACACGTAATAATTTTTTTTTTAACCACACATTCTCCCTCAATCACTATTTCATAATACATCAAATTAATGGAGGTCAAACATGTCATTAATTAGAAGGTATAGTAAGCCTATGTGCAGTTTCGTTATTTTTTAGAGCAATGCTATAAGTACAGTAATTTTGACATCATGGTTGATAGCCTTCTCACGTATAAAAAGCTAAGACCCATGATTAAAATAATTGCAGTTCCCACGACTGTGCGAGCGTGTATAACATTGAACCCATAGCCTTTTTCTATTTTTAAATGAAATGCTGCATGCTTTCTCTGATAGCACGCAAAGCAACATTCAACTCAAAATAGAGAATGTTATTTGTATAGAAATTTTTTCACAGAATTTGGCCAAGTTACTCTCACGTATAGGACTCACTGTTAATAAAAAATTATCAAAAAATACCTCCATCCGTCCCTATGTGTGTGTTCTGGCAGGCTTCTGTATGAAGACTGTCTGAACACACAACAGGGTCCATTCAAAATTGTTACCTTTTGTCTTGATGTTCGTTTGCCTCCAATAAAAGTCAAATACTTCCTGGCCCATAAAAATAAATTTATTTTCCTTTTCATTTTTCTAAATTATAGACCTCAAATTTAATATGCATTATTATTGAAAAATATGAACAATTCTTATTTAAATCATTATTTAATATACAAATATAATAAGAAAAAATGTAAGTAACATTAATAATTTTAACCGTATTAATTATATTTTCTTAATTTGTGTGAAAACAAAAACAAGAATTTCCTTATGCGAGGGAGAGTGCATTTTTGTGCATTTTTATGCATTTATTTATGAGGGGTATTTGGTCCTTTAAACTGGCTTGTAGATGGTGAAATTAACATCTTGACTGAAAGGTATATCTATCCTACTCAACCTACTCAAACGATAAACTTTGTATGCCTTATTATTTTACTGAATAATGCTTGTTATACACCATGCCATACAGCAAGGTGTATATAGCTCCCTCACACATGAGGGGGCCCACTATTAATAAAAAAATGGTGGGTACAAGTATGGTGTACAACCGTCTTAATCCTATTTTATTCAAATGTCAGACATTAAATCTAGCCAAATAGGAATTCGATATAGCCCTTGTTTGAGCCCTATTATTTCAATCAAACTACGTTCTTTAACAATGATTTGATCCTCATTTCAATTACACATTTTTCACTAAAATAATATTACACATAAATTCAAAAAATTTCTTTATTTTTTAACCACAAATTTTTCATCAATACACTATTCAAAATATATATATATATATTTGGTCAAGAATGGGGCTCAAACAAGGGCATAATTTTTATTATTCACAATTTTTGAACAATTAACGAACAGAGCACGTGGCTGCATGCATATAGTTTCGATGATCCCAATTTAAACACGATAATATGGTACGAAATGAAGAAACAAAAGCCAAAAGAGTGTCCCATATAATTGTGGGCAGTTAGGTAGAAAATTAGTCAAGCTCTGTGCCTGCAATTGGTCCCCAGTTCGACTTTTTTTGCACGCAGAATTTATGAACGCATTCAATTTGGATAATTTTTTCTATATAGTATTTTGCATTTAATTATGCAAAAGCTCAACTGATTCCATTAAATCAGGCTTAATCTGTTAAGTCTAGAGCACAATCAAGAATCATACAGACAGTCTTGAAAGCGACAATTTAAATGATTTTTCATTTTTCATTTTATTTCTTTTTCGTATCAACGTCTCAACTGCAACCTGCAATCCACCACCAAAAGCCCATAAAAGTTTAGGTGCTTGCTAGCCAACAAAACCCACATCTGGCACTCAAATTTCTGCTTAAAATTAATTTTTCCATCCGTCAATTTCAGGATTCTTTTCAACGTTCACGTCCTGAAATTCTTCAAATTCTTTTTTTTTTTGGGTTTGTTTTAAAAGGTGCTAATTTTGTAGGTGAAATGGACAAATTTCTATAATGATTTCTTGATGACGTTGTTTTTGTGGGTATATAAGTAGAGTTCTGAGGTGCTGAGAATGGTGTCATTTAAGAAGCAAAGGATAAGAAAAGAGTCTTAACAGATATGCAATAAAGAAGTCTATGTTAGCATACTTTCCTTTCTTATTCGTTATCTTCAATTTATGTTCTCTTTTTAGAAACTTGGATTGTTCTGTGAGTTGATAACGTTCTGGGTTTTGAGTATTATAGAAGAATTGATAGAAATATGTTGATAGAAGAGAAAATAATCTGCAAATCAGGGAAGAAGGATGCCCCTTTCTTTGCTTGGCCATGGGAGAATTTTGGAAATTACAAGGTATGTACTTTATCTACTAGCTTATTCAAGCCCACCACCCCACCCCTTGTAAATTTTCCATTCTTTCCATCATTTAGTCTGGTTATGTACTGTTTATTGATTTGTGCATTTTATATGTGTCAGTATTTATTATATGGACCACTGATTGCAAAAGGGCTGTATTCTATGTCTGGGAAAGGAAATAAGGAGGATATATGGTGCTTACATATTCTCGTCTTGTTTGCCCTGCGAGGCCTTGTTCATCAGCTATGGAGTACTTATAATAATTCACTTTATATCAATCGTACTCGTCGACTGAATCAACAGGGCATTGATTTTAATCAAATTGATGCAGAATGGCATTGGTATAAATTCGTGATTTCTCATATTTTAGTCTATGTTTTCTTTTGATTTCTTAATATTTGTTAGGAGTTTAATTGTTAATCTTGTTAATTATTCAACAGGGATAATTTTCTGATACTTCAAGCCATTGTAGCTTCATTTTCCTATTTGAGCTTCCCTTCATTGTCCAACCTTCCTATATGGGACATTAAGGGTATTGTGTCTTGCCTCATACTCCACATTCTAATCTCAGAACCACTGTATTATTGGTTGCATAGATTATTACATTCCAAGCATTTATTTCCAAGATACCACTGGCTCCACCATAGCTCTAAAGTCCTACATCCTTTTACAGGTACGACATAAGCAGATTCCCACCAACGTTATTTATAACTAGTAAAATTTAACTATGAATAGACTGTTCATCGATTAATCTCTGTGTGTTTTATGTCCGGTGCAGCTGGGCATGCTTCGTTTCTGGAACACCTATTAGGATGCATAATTATTGGGATCCCGACCCTAGGAACTGGTTTACTTGGTTATGGATCTGTCAGCATGATGTACAGTTATGTTTTAGGCTTTGATTTTCTTCGATGTATTGGGCATGCCAATGTTGAAGTTATTCCTCATCACCTGTTTGAGGCTATTCCACTTCTCAAATATATTATCTACACACCTACGTACGTTCTGATCTCTTATATTGATTCTTCATTTTGTTCATGTTCATCAATTGTTGCTATGATTTGTATTTCCAGGAAGTGTGCACTTAATCCATTTCTCAATATTTTCTGTTCTTTTTTTGGGCGGATGGGGTTGGAGGGATCTCCAACTCAGTGATGTCAATACAAGATTGCTTAATTCTATTTCATTTTGTTGGATTTTGTTTCAACCATCTCATCTGAAAATTAATTGGTGTTAGTGAGGGAATGTTAACCCTTTTGGAGCTTTCGATCAACCATCATTTGGGTGACCTAACCTTTGGGCTTGAGAGCGGAGTTGTTGCACCCCCAACAATCCCCTTTCAGCATGACGCTCTTGATACTCTTAGGACTTAAATACATGACCCTAACTCTGATACTACTTGTTAGGATCAAGTTTCTACAATGTCATTTGAAAATCAACTGGTGTTCAGTGAGGGAAGGCTAAATCTTCTTAAGTCGTTCGATCGCCATCATTTGAGTGACTGAACTTAAGGACTTAAAAGATCGGCATTGTTTTAACCCAACACATTTCTCAATTTTTGGACCATACCGTCAGATTTTCAAAATGAAGAAGTTCAGTTAATGTTGCTAGGAAACTATTTTTAGGAACTCTGTCTTGGCCAGATGAATTATGAAGTC